ACAAGTTTTCTTTCTTTTTTTAATCGTTCTTGTAACGTTTATTCCATCGCTCACTAATTTTCTTTTCTTCCCTTTTTCACCCGTTTACGTAAAACTTTTTTATAAAATTCAAAAACTAAATAATCGATCGATCTATCTATTTGATTCGATCGATTTATCGAAGAAACATTTTAACGTTGCGGTTAAAACCACCTCAAGACCGACACCACCTGAAAACGTTAATCGGTGGTGGTTGGAACAATTTTAAATGCGACGACATAATGTGAAATGCCACAACGACGATGACGACGACGACAACGACGAATTTTAACCCTTTTTCATAATGTTTACCTTATGGGAAATATTTAATAATTCACATTATGACGTCTATTATACCACGTGATATCACGTTCAAAATAATAATGATGATAATGACGACTATGACGTAACTAAAAATTTGACTGGCGAATAAATAGAAAAAAAAATTTTTTTTATTTTAAAAGACTTTAAAAGTTTTGAAATAAATAAATAAAAATAATTATAATTAATACAACTCGGGCGTGAATCCTTTATTTCCATTTCCGGTTTGAAACTCGCGATTTTTATCGGTTACGTTTATTATTATTAATTTATTACGTATATAAAAATGACCGAAATTTTTAGAAAACTTATGATAAAAGAAAAATAATTGAACCATTAAAATAATTAAAAATATTTGTACCCATCTGTGAACGACAACCGCCAAACATTTAAAATTTATAATTTTTTTTTTTTTCCCAAAATAGAAATAGAAAAGGAAGAACAAGAGGGATAGAGAGAGAGAGAGAGAGGGGAGAGTAAAAAAATTTATTTTGCGAAAAAGAATTAAAAAAAAAAAAAAAGGGGAAAAAATTGTAACTAATTTAAAAGTTAGTAAATCTAAAACTAACTAACTAACTAACTAACTAATTACCAACTCGAATTTACCACCTGTTCGGCAGTATTATTAAAATTTTTCTTTTTTTTTATTTATTTATTTATTTAGAAAATTTTTTCGAAAAAGAAACAGACAAAAAAAAAAATTTAGAATTTTTTTTTTTTCGAAAACCAAAAAAAAGAAAACTGTCCGAAACATAAATACAAACCATAGAATGATAAATTTTAAAAACCGCTGATGACGACACCACAATTTTTTCCTTTTCTTTTCCTTCTTATTTTCCATTTATTGTTTCTTTTTCATTTTAAAATTGGTTACGTAAATCCTTATAAAATTTTCTTAAACTTTTAATAATAATAATAATAATAATAATAATAATTTTAAATTTTTCGAAAAAAAAAATGGAGTGAATATAATTTTACTGGAAAAGTTTTAAAAACTATTCTAATAAGAATTTTCGAATATATGTATACATATATATATATTTCCAAAATCATTTTGAAAATGTACTCTCTCTCTCTCTCGGTTCCTACCCCCTTTCTCCCCTCCCTCCGGCCTAAGGGTTATAAAACCCGTTTGAATTTCAAACGAACGGAAGGGGGGATGGCCGGTTCGAAAATTTTCCACAAGGTTTTTAAATAAAATTCTTTTTAATTTAATTTGTTTTCTCACACTCTCTTTTGAAAAATTTTCCTTCCGCTCGCTCTCTCTCTCTCTCCTCCCCCTCTCTCCCCCCCATATCGTTTTCCCAAAAACTTCTCTTAATGTTTTAATACTTGCCAATTTATCATATAAATAAAACGACATAATGCCACGATAAAATTCAAAACTTCCGGTTGGGAAGCGGGAAAATTTTGGAACTAAGCGTTTTAGGAATGCTTCCTGTGTTCATTCCACCAAATGGTTGCTCCGTTTATGTTTTTGTTCGACAATAGATTTTCGGATTCAGGTAAACAAAAAAAAAAAAATTTTTTTTATATCCTCCCCTCTCCCTTCCCCGCCTCCGCTCTCGCGCCCGCCCCCCGAACTCGGTTTTCTCCAGTTATAAAAAAGTTTTCTTTTTTTTTTATTAAAGTTTAAAATTGAAAAAAGTTAATAAATTTAAATTTTTTTTTTTCTTGTTACGGGTTTTTTTTTTTTTTTTTTTTTTTTTTTTTTTTTTAAATGATAGAAAGAAAAAACGATAAATACGGTGATAATAATGATAATTATCATGGGAATATCGTTTGCACGGTAACAAAATGAAAATAAAATAAATGAATGATGATGTACAAAAATTTCGAAGAATACATGTGTCGAAACAACGAAATCGTGAAACAACCGCCTTGGTGTAGTAGTGGTGGTGGTGGTGGGGGTGGTAAAACATCAAAAATAACGTGGTGTTTGTCGAGGGAAAAATGTAATAACAACAACGGTGGTGGGGGTGGTAAAGAACAAAAATTATTATTTAATAGTAGAAATTCGTCGACGAAATTATCGATCGATGATCGAAAACAACAAAAAAACGTTAACGTTATTGATAAGACGAGAATTCATTTAATTGATAATAATGTCAAAAGTGGTAGTAAATATTTTATAAAAAATAATAATAATAATAATAATAAAATGAAACCATTTTTCGTACAAAGAAAAAAATTCGGGTCGTGTTGTTTTAAAAAAAAGGAAAAATACGATAATGACGATGATGACGATGATGATGGTGATGATGTCGGAGGAGGAGGAGGAAAAGTAGGAAAAGGGGGAAGAGGACGAGGACGAGGAAAAGGAGGAGGAGGAAACGGAAGATGGAGAGAATATTCGATCGTCGCGTGTGTCGCTTTTATTTGTTATTTAAACGCATTTTTCGGTGATTTCGTACACGACGACATACCCGCGATAACGCGAAATCGTGACGTCACTGGTCAAACCCCCATTCTTCAAGTGTTAAAAAATGATTTTTGGGGAACCGCGATGAGCGATCCATCGAGTCATAAATCATACAGGCCGCTCACCACATTTTCATTCAGGTAAGAATATTAATGATAGTACTAATAACAATAATAATAATAATTTTTTTTTTCTACCGATGGCTTTTCCCACTTCAACTCCCATCATTTTTTTTTTTTCTTTTATTATAAAGTAAGATCGACCGAAAATAAAAAAAGGAAAAATTTTTTCCCTCCCCTCCCCTTTTTTCTTTTTTTTTCGTTTCTGGAGAAAAAAAAACGAAAACAAACATTTTTCAATAAAAATAATATTAGAAACTTGTTTTTCCAGCAAATAAATTTTTCATGCAACTAAATTTTCTTTTTTTTTTTTTTAAGTGGTTTCGAAAAAAAAACCGAATTTTTTTTTTCCTTTTTTTCCTTTTTCTTCTTTCCTTTTTTTTTTTTTTAATTAATTTTTAATCTTGAAACTGTTTTTTCCTATCTACTTTTATTTTCAAACCGGATATCCTACTTTACATCTAAAAAAAAAAATTTTCTTTTTTTTTTGTTTTGTTTTTAAAAAAAATTCTCCAGTTTGGAAAAATAAAAAAACAAATTCCATAAACAATATAATGCGGTGAATTTTTTCTTTTTTTTTTTTCATTTTTTAATAATAATGATGATAATAATAATAATAGTAATTGAAAAGAAAAATAAATCAAAAAAATGAGGATGAGGAGGATGATAATAATAATAATAATATGCGGGAGGATAAAAAATAAAAAAAAATAAAAAATTCTGGAGAAATAAAATAAATAAAAAAAATAATAATAATAATAACTTGGAATTCGTTGTTGTTGTTGGAGAATATATGGAAAGATGACTTTCGGTTGTCTCGAGTGTTTTTTTTTTTTTCCTAGCAATTTGTTTTTCAAGAAGGAAGAAATAAGAACGAAATGTGTGTGGGTGGGTGAATGGGGGGAAGAAGAGGGGATGGGATGGGGGAGAAAGCACAGGAAAGTAGAAAAATCCCGGAGTGAAGGAGACACGGAGAAAAACCCTACGTCGGAATGAATGAATGAATGAATGAATGAAAATGAAAAAAAAAAAAAAAAAAAAAAAAAAAAAGAAAAAAGAGAAGCGTAATAACAAAGTTGAAAGTTTATTTCTACTGGAACGGAAAAAAAAAAAACAATACTGGAAAAAAAAAATTTAAAAAAATTTCTCCAAAAAAAATTTTTATTTTTTTTTACTGGAAATTTATTATTCTCTTATTGCAACCATTAGAAAACGAAATTTTTTATTACTTTTATTACAACTCGTACGTTTTTTTTTCATTTTTTCAAAAAAAAATTATTATTATTAACATTATCGATGAGTTTTTTTTCACCCGTCAATGATCATTCTGGAAAAACAAATAATTTTTTATCAATCGGTACGTATATATTTCTATTTCGGTTTCGATCAATAATAATTATTAAATAAATAAATACATAAAACTTTTTTAAAAAATCAAAAAATAATAAATAAAAAAAAATTACGAGTAATAATAATAATAATAATAATTGAATTATCAATTAGGGTAATTAATATAATAACGATCAAAATAATAATTTGTGTGACGTAATAAAATTTAGTTTTTAAAAATCAATTTAATGCCGCCGCCACCACCACCCCCATCATCGACCTTATTACACACACACACACACGTTGAAAAAATTTTTTTTTTTTTTTTATCGTAAAGTAATAAAAGTTTTTATTACGGTAATAAAATACATAAACCTAAATTTTAAATTAACATTTAGGCAATCAAATCAACAGCAAAAACCAACATGAAATTTTATTTTCTCGTTTTAAAAAACACTTAAAAGAAAAAAAAAAAAAAAAACTTATCCCGGAGTTTTCCTTTTTTCCTTTTTTTTTTGGGAGGAAAACGTATTCGACCGGTTAAAAGGAAAAAATATAGTTCACGCTATAACTACAACTTTTTTTCTAAAAAGAATTTACTGTTTGGATAAAGTAAAAAAAAAAAAAAAAAGTAAAAACTGAGCTTTGGCACTAACAACAATTCAAAATTACATTTTCTTTTCTACTACTACCCCCTTTCCCCTCCTCATCCCTCACATTTTTACCATTTTTTTTTATTTGCCACGCCTCGTCCTCCTCCCCTCTTTCTCTCTCTTTCTCTCTCACACTCCAGAATAAGATTTTATGAAAAAAAAAAAAAAAAAATTAACGACTTAACGTGGCACTAAATGCGCCAAACTTAAAGTTTAAAAAAAAACGAACGGAAATGAATTGAGAGCTAATTGTAAAAATTTTAAAGTCAACTTTTTTGTTATTTAAATTTTAAATTAGAAATGGAATTTAAAATTTTTTTCCGTTTCCTTTTTTTTTCCTCCTTCCCCTCCTCCTGTTTCTCATGATGATGATGATGATGATGAAAAAAGCATTTCGGTATGTGTGTGTGTGTGTCTTAATAAAAAAAGAAAAAATTATTTTCCGCGGGGGATGAACAGAAAAAAAAAAAAAGGCAACGAAAAATCGATAAATTTTTTTTTTTTTTTTTTGACTTTCCCATATCCCTCCTCGTAATTTAAATTATTTTTTATTTATTTATTCGTGATACCGTGAATCTCTCCTCTTCCCAACTCCCCTCTACCTCCTCCCCCTATCTCATCGTATTTTATCTCTTTATTATTATTATTATTATATTTTAATTATTTATTTTAAAAAAAAAAAACGCGAATTAATTATCGTTTTATCGATTAATAAATAAATTATTTTTGACACGTTTTTTTTTTAAATAATAAATTATGTTAATAATAATGATAATAGTAATTAATTTTAATGAAATATAGATTATCGATAATTATAGTAATTAAAAAAAAAAAAAAAAGGAAAGAACGACGTATAAAAAAATGAAAAATTTACGCGTGGTATAAAAAATAAAAAAAAGAGATAGAAAGGGAAACCGACGTTGGTTTTATCCTCTTCTCCCTCTCTCTCCCTCTCTACTACCCATCCCTCCATTGGAAAATTCTACGCACACGCACGCACGCATCGTTTAAAAAAAAAAAATGCGTGATGTTTTTTTCGCTTCCCTTAAAATAAATAATATATATTTAAATTTTTTTTTTTTTTTGGTCGCGACATATTGAAAATTGCATTTGTTTGTGGATGGGCGGGGAAGAGGAAGGCGGAGGGAGGAAGGGAATTGAAAAAGGGTGGATTGGTGGGTCGGTCGGGGAGGTAAAAATTCATTTTTTTTTTGTATAGTTTTCGTCGAATGAAAAAAATTTAAATTTTCCACAGGTAAGTTAATATTCAACGTAAAAAAAAAAAAAAAAACACCCCGAGGGTGTCGCTTGTTAATAAAAAGTCATAAACTCAATGGGGTTAAAGGTAAAATGAGTCAAAAAGTGTAGAAAATATGCGCGCGGCGTATTATTAACGCTTTCGGCGTTTGTCGTCGTCGTCGTCGTCATTACGAACAAAAAAGAAAGCAACAACAACGACAACAAAATATTTTCAATGGGAGAATAAAAAAAAAATCATTTATTAATAAGTTAAAATCTTAATAAGAGTAATAAATTACCTCCCCTCCCCCTCTTCCTTCCCCCGCTTTTTTTTTACATATTGTGTGTATCTGCGAATAAGTTTTAATTAAATATTACCACGAGTTTTTTTTTTCTTCTTCTTCTTTCTTCTTTTCTCTTTTCTTTTGGTTAACACAAAAAAAAAAAAAAACTTTTTTAAACTTCCCTAAGGGTCGCACAAAAAGGTTTTACGAAAATTTTTTTTTCCTTTCTTTTCCTTTTCCCCTCCCCCCTCCGCTCGCTATTCACTTATGTGAAATTTTATAAATTCTAATAAATTTTTTACATTTTTTTCTTCTTTTTTTTTGTTTTTCCCTTTTTTTTTAAACTTTTAAAAATTATTATTAAATGTGGGGGGTAGTGGTGTAGAGAAAAGAAAAAAAATGAGGATGAAGGATTGTAGGTGGGTGAGTGGAGGTGGGTGGTGGTGAAAATGAAAGAAAAGTGAAGGAAAAGAATACTTAACAAGTTAATTGCTTTTCTTTACAAGGGTTGCTTTATTTTGCTTACGTCAAGAGGGTAACAAAAATTTTTCACAAAAATATTACGAGAGGAAAACGACGAGTTTTTAATCCTTTTTTTTTTAAGCCTCCCTCCCCCGTATCTCCTTCCCTTTCCCCCCCCATGAAAAATGTCGACAATACACAACACACATAAGTCGTCGTCGTCGTCTTCGTATTTACGTTTCATATCACTTCCAGTTTCTTTTTTTTTCCCTTACTGCTGGAGAAAAGAAATTGGAAATATTTATTTCAAAGAGGAGAAGTGCGTAGAGAGGGGAGGAAAGGGAAGGCAGGAGAGGGTGAAAAAAATTTTTTTAATGCATGCTCGAAACTCGTTAAAACAGTAAAGAAAAAAAAAAAAGTTTGCGTTTTTATTACTTGTCAGATTCATTTCAAAAATAAACCACGTCAAACTTTCTTGAATTATTTTTCTCTTTTTTTTTTTTTTTTTAATACACTTTAAAATCCAAACCGTTTGTTGTTGTTGTTGTTGTATAAATCACGAATGAAAAACAATCAAAACAACAGAAATAAAAAAAAAAAAATTCCTAGAAAAATCTCAAGGATAATTGAACTCAACGATAAAAAAAAAAAAAACATTATTATTATTATTATTATTATTATTATGTTTTTACTTGTAATTTTTTTTTACACGTAATAACCGCGGAGTAATAATAAATCAAAAACGATAATATCGGTAAAGGACCGATCGTTAATAGAGAGTAGTCGTAAAATATGTTGTTTCCCTTTCCTCCCCTTCCCTCCTTCCTCTACTACCTTCCTTATTTTCCCCTAATCAACGCGCCTCCTTCCCCGACCGATGGAAAAAAAAATTCAACCAATCTTACGAACGAATAATCATTTAAATAAATTAAAATTATTATTTTTTGTCTAACGCCACGTCGTCATTTTATTTATTTATTTATTTTAACTTTGCTTTTAAATCACAATCGAATTTTTTTATAATTTTGCCATATGACAAAAATGAAGATGAAATAAAAATTAATTGACTAACAAACAAACAAACAACTTTATTTTATTATTTTCAAAAATATAATTAATATAAATTATACAAAAACTGCGAACGTACGTTTTTATTATAGAATTTCTTTAGGGAAACGATTACATT